GTTTTTGGCGGACACAACATCTTTGTTGGTATGTGGTGCTGAGGATCGAAACCGGGCCGCACGCATGCCAGGCGAGCGCGATACCGCTTGAGCCACATCCCCAGCCCCTTTTATTTTTATGTGGTGCTGAGGATCAAACCCAGGGACCCGCATGTTCTAGGTGAGTATTCTACCGCTGAGCCACAACCCCAGCGCCCAGCCCTGATTCTTAATATCTTTTTTTAAAATATTTTTTTAGTTGTAGATGGACACAATATCTTTTAAAAATATATATTTATTTTTTAGTTGTACACAATACCTTTATTTTGTTTATTTATTTTAATGTGATGCTGAGGATCGAACCCAGGGCCTCACGCCTGTGAGACAAGCGCTCTACCACTGAGTTACAACCCCAGCCCCAATATCTTAAATACAAAGACACACACATGGAAATAATTTAACTGGTTAGGCTAATTACTGTCTTCCCTCCCTGTTAACTCTTCAACAGGAGAAAATTTGGTAAGAAAGCACATCTACATACCTGAGATCTCTTGGTATCACTAGGCAGGAGCAAACTGCCTGTATTTACATTAAATGTCCGGGTCTTGGTTTTCACTGGTTCATTTGTTTCCCGATAGAGCTTTATTGGAAAAGGCTTGTTAGCCTTCTGGACCAAGTTATAAATGCCTACAGTGAGTGCTATATCCTTGTTGAGCTTAAACTTTAACCTGAGAGAAAAATGAAAGCATGGACTCAAAGACTGTATAAAATCAGGCATGGTAGCCCATGCCTATAATCCTGGCAGTTTAGGAGGCTAGGGCAGGAGGATTGCAATTTCAAGGCCAGACTCAGCAACTTCTTTTTTTTTTGTTGTTCCAGGGATTGAACTCTACAGGGCTTAACCACTGGGTCACACTGGGTTACATCCCCAACTCGATTGATTTTTTATTTTGGTACAGGGTCTCACCAGGTTGCTTACAGCCTCTTTGATGTTTCTGAGGCTGACTTCAAACCTGTGATCCTCCTGCCTCAGCCTCCCGAGCCACTGGAATTACAGGCATGAGCCACCACATCTGGTTCAGCCTCAGAAACTTAGTGAGACCCTAACCAACTCAGAAAGACTCTTTTCCAAATAAAAAATTTTAAAAAACAGGTTAGGATGTAGCTCAGGGGTAAAGTGGTAAAATACTCCTTGGTTCAATACCCAGTATCAGAAAAAAAAAAAAAAAAATTATGTATTTTCCCATCTGCAATTCCTTTAAGACATTTAAATTTCAATTTGCTTTATTCACCACAGTAACCCTAAGCAAATTCTAAATGCATTTTAATAATACAATGGAGGGCTGGAGATGTGGCTCAAGCGGTAGTGCACTTGCCTGGCATGCGTGCGGCCCGGGTTCAATCCTCAGCACCACATACAAACAAAGATGTTGTGTCTGCCGAAAACTAAAAAATATTAAAAAAAATTCTCTCTCTCTCTTAAAAAAAAAAATAATACTACAATGGAATTTGCTATAATATCCTCTCAAAGTCCACCACAAAAATTAGTTTCAAAGTATATTAACTACTTAGGATAATGATAAAGAATGTACTATTGGAAACAGGGATGTAACTCAGTAATAGAATATGTCCCTAGCATGCACCAGGACCCTGAGTTTGATCCCCAACACTCAAAAAAAAAAAAAAAAAAAAAAAAAAAGAAATTAAATGATTTCTTTCAGTATATGACTTAAGGATCATATC